CATCCAGGGCTGAGGGCTCCTTGGCCTGACAGCCTCAGCATCACACCCAGAGCAAGCCCTGCCTGCTACCTGCCCTATCCAACCACCACTCGCACAACTCCTCTTCTAGCTAAGGCACCTTCTTTCCCCCAGGCCCATTTAACTTCAGAGGTTTTTCTGCAAACCCAGCAGGTTATTTTTATGTTTTTTCCTGCATAGGCAATGTTCTCATCAATTTCCAATAAAGACAGGCAGGTTGCCTGGCCCCAGCACTTAGAAATTACAGCCAGAACAGAACACAGGCAAGAAAATTAGAGCAATAAAATTCTGGAGTCATACAGAAGAATAGCGTGCACTATGAATTTTTCCCATGCGTTGTTTTAGGTGTCCCCTGTGTATTGCAGCTACATTTCACAGAGGCAGAGGAGATGGGTGAGGAAAGAAGTAAACCAGCACGAAGGAAACTATCTGCAGAAGACCATCGTGTCCCCTGCCAGATGTACACCTGTGTGGCCTTTCTTACTGATCACCTGCACCGTCACTTGTTTCAACATTCCAGCTCACACCCCACATCAGGCAGCACGGTGTTAGATCACATGTGCTGTCTCTCAGGCTTGGTTTTTATCCTGGATCGGACACGACCTCCATGTCTGTGAGACAATTTGCCCATGAGGCACCGCAGCGGGAAGCCTCCCTGAAGGTTAAGCCAAGCCTAAGGTTAAGTGCAGGACAATGCTGTACTCCCTAGTTCCTGCCTTTAAAAAAAAAATAAATAAATAAATCACATGACTCTGAAGTCCTTATCTGACTTTGGAAAAGCCCAAATCTTGTCTTCATACTGACTGGGGTATTTTACAAATGCCTCCAAAATTTTGCACTCTGACTCCAAAATCTGTTCGGAAAATAGGATTTAGGCACTCAAACATTTATTTTCAGCAGCTGGCCACAGCGCAAGGAAAACAAAACTACTTTTCCTCTTTCTTTTATATTTATATAAGGAATTATTTTCCTTCAGAGCAGGGATTTTCCTATAATAGGACTTCTCCCATACAATTGATAGCAACAGAAAATTCACAAAAATAAAACTGTATTAAAGTCTGTCAAATAGATTAATCCCTTTCTTTTATATACCATGCCTACACAATTAAAGAAGATTAGGAGGTACCATGCAGTGACAAAAGAAGGAGGAAGATGGCAAAATACTAATGGTGCCAGCAGCACCGCTCGGAGTCTCCTCTCTGGAGCCCCATCAAAGCCCAGCTCCTGGAGCTGTGCTGGGGTTGCATAGGCTCAGCTTTAAGACCATCAACTACAGGAGCAATCGAGATGGGTTAAATTCAGGCTGTCAGTGTATTTCTGCATTTTCAATCCAGCTCAAGGACGCTGTGATGCCATAAATCAGATCTGGCTCACAAGCCCCTGCGGTTATCACCACTTTTGTGTCTTCTGGAGTCCCACAGTGATCACTGCAAGCAGGGTAAAGGAAATTAGGTAGATTTTACCTCCATAATTGGGTTCGATGCGAGGACTTTGGCCTCGATGTTGGTCTTGCTGGCAGAACCCCTGATGGTGGTGAAGAAGCGCATGGCGTATTTGGCAGAGACCGTCTTCCCAGCGCCCGACTCCCCACTCACAATGATGGACTGGTTCTTCTCATGTCTATTGAGGCAGAGGAGTCAAACTTCTGTAAGCTAATCCATTTTATTGTTCACCGTTTGCATCACTGGTCCCTCACCTTGTTGCCACCTACGTTACGGACGCTGCATTTTCTTTGGATTTACAAAAGTGACAGCAAATAATATACAGTTGTGACACATCTCACAGAAAACACAGAGGACACTGGACATCTCCAGAACACCTCCAGAGGCCTGCAGAGACAGTGGGAGATGAACCCCTGCGTGAAACACTGCTGTCTTCTTTACCCTTAGACCAAGTATCCCAGTGCTGGGAAGCCCATTCCTTACACACCACAATCCCAAACCTCTGCTGCTTGGAATCTGTCTGGAGAACTATTAACTGGCATTGGCTGAATCTCAGCTTCTAGTATCATACAATTAATTTTTCCCTCCAATGCTTTCACTCAAGAATTTGAGCTTTTGCCCAATAAAGCATGAGCAATTCATTGTGAAACTTACTCAAGTAGCCTTTAAAACACAGACACCAAAAAAGCTTCCTGTATGCTCAAAATGTGTTAAAAATATTGCAGTTGTAAAATCTAGCACCCTAGAATTAGGACACAGAAGAAATAACTTGATTCCCTAAGCAATTACACAAATATCAATATTTTCACACAGCTCCCAACATCTGGTTAAAACATTGACAATAATAATACAAAGCATGTTTTTGACATCAAGCCCACACCAGATACTCATCTCAAAATCCTCTCAAGTTGTTAAGTCATTGATCTGAAGTGCAGAGGTACTTCTAGGAAACAAGGGGTAACCAAAAGGGGATAAATAGTTTAAAAACAATCCATGGCAGACATCATTATGTCCAGTTTGTTCAGCTCCTGAAGCTCTGCAGAGCAAAATAGTTTCTTAGAAGGGCTAGCTCATTAACAGAAGGATCAAGCAGCCTGACACTCTCCAAGCACAGAACAAGTTTCCTTACAAAAGGATACAGGTGTCCCAGCTCCAGGATAACAATATTCAAGCAAATACACACCAGAACTTTGGATCTGCACATATGAAAATGCTTTCCAGGGGTGGGAAGCGTTATCCTGGCACCAAGAGGCTGATGCAAACCCTTCTGCAGCCATGATGGGAGCAGATGCCACTGTCCCACCCCTGGGCTGGTGCTGGGTAGTGGGAGCAGTTCTGCCCCTCCAGGCTTCTGATGTTCTCAGAGCCTGGGCAAACCACCAGGTACCTCCAAGACAGATCACCAGGTACCTTCAGGGTAAACCACCAGGTTCCTCCAGGGCACAGGACATTGCATGGGGAAACAGTGGGTGCATTAGCTCATGTAACTTTTGAGCCCTGCACAGAGCACAAACTCATCCAAATGCCTTTCTCTACTTTCAAAATCAATCATTTACACACACACAAAAAAAAAACCCTTGCACAAGTCATCATTAAACACCCAGCGCTTCCCAGCACGGGTGCACAGCATGGTACCCACTAGATACATCCCAACAATTAATCAGTTTATTGTGCTTGAGCTGCAAGGCACAGAAAGGGCCAAGACAGTAAGAGGAGCTCATTTTCAGAACTGCATCCCTCTAGGCAAAGATTTGCTGGCTCCAGGACCAAGTAGCTGTGCTGCAGTGGGATTCACTCCCCAGGGTATTCTCAGGACACTGCAAACCCAGCACCTCTGCAACTTGGCCATGGACTTAGGGAAGGAGAGAGTTTTCACTGCAGGATTTGCTATAAGATCCCCAAATACCCAAGCTATTGGGTAAGCTGTAAGAACGTAATTGAGTATGTTTTTAAGTAAGATCAAATTAAGCTTCCCATACTCCGCCCGGCTTTCATGAATCACAGCTGAAAGCAGGCACAGAAAATCCTATATACAAGTACAACAACCTTGCAGTTCTCTTGACATCAGGAAACACCATAAAAACACATTTCAATTTAAGATAGTTCAAGTTTATACCAGCAGGAGATGAGAACAGAGTCTAAATCATTGCCATATACTACCTCTGCACTTCCAACCGAAACACACCACACCGTTACTTTCCTCCACTGTCAGGCACATACATCTTAATTCCTCCCAGGCTCAAGGTAACTGGTCTGAGAAAACAACCTCAGCCAAGTCCCACGTAACACTTGGGTGCAAAACACAACTTAGTGACACTTCCAGCAGGAGAAGAACAACACCATAATTTCCAACTCTATACTTTTCAGGGCACCGATGCACTGTTGTCCTGGGCATCGACCAGCAGGAGGGCAAGAGGAACCGCCAGCTACTCCAGCTATCAGGGAGTTAATGCAGAAACACAGGTTGGGAGCTGAGCACAACCTCACCCAGGCACTCAACATCCTGGAGCCAGCGTTCCCAGTGACTCACCCTGGGTGGGAACAGCCTGGTCTTGCTAAGTCATGGTGTCGTGCCCTCCCTGGGTCTTGGCAAAGCCACCATGGCTCTCCCACAACCAGCTGGCAGGATCCAGGCACGGGGCTGCCAATGCACCAGTCTCACCCCTTTGGCCTTTCACAGGTGTGCAATAAAACTTTGTGTAGCGTGAGCCGTCAGACACGTGAAACCAACAGAGGAAAACCAGGGCCAGCTCCATGGTGAGAAAGGAAAACTAGCCACCAAACCCAGAAGTTCTCTGGAAATGCCCACAGCAGTGGTTTCTGGGACAGCTGATGGCAGTAATTTGGCATGGTTTATCGCTGGTTCAAGCAGGTGAGAAGTTTCACCTCTGCTTTGGTCATCTTCAGTGAGGTGCATTGCCAGTCTCTCCTCCCAGGTAACAAGGAAAACGACAAGAGGAAACAATTTCAAGTTGTGCCAGGGAAGGTTTAAAATAGGTATGAGGGAAAATCTCCTCACAGAAAGGGCTGTCAAGCCCTGGCACAGGCTGCCCAGGGACGTGGTGGAGTCCCCATCCCTGGAAACATTAAAGAATATGTGGACATGGCAACTGAGGACGTGGTTTAATGGTGGACATGGTGGTATTGGGTTGATGGCTGTACTCGATCTTAGATGCCTTTTCCTACCTTAATGATTCCATGATCTTATATTCATGGACAACCACTCGCTGAGCTCCCATGTTGGCCATCAGAAGGATGCAATGGAAAAAATTCATGTCAGCTACAAAGGAAGTGGCAGACAGAGGTTTTGCCATGGGCTGCAAGGGTGGGTGAACAGATTATCCTTCATCAGAGGTGAGGGAGAAGCAGGAGAAAGAAGTGACAACCAAAATCCCCTGGAAGTCTGCAAATGCAAAGCTGCTGTGGCCTAGAGCCACACCTGACTAAAAGTTACTTGAGAATTGTTGTTTCTTATCCTTCTCTTCATGACAGGTACAGCCCTAGCAGAACATTTCTAAAAGCATATCCCCACCACTCTTCTCCTTAATCCTGAAGATAAAAACTCCACCATTCTTCAGGGAGTGGGTCTCCAGTTGAATGAAGCCAAAATCTCAAAAAATATCAAAATCTCATTACTTGGCATGCAGACAGCACAACTACAAAGTAATATTTGATAACCTACTTTATTCACAATTAAGATTCACATCAAGACTTCTTGATATCAAATCTGATCTCTCTCATTACTTCTCCCTATCAGCTAGTGGAGTGTGCCTGGATGGAGAAGGCAGAGACCATCCCAGGTGGGAGCCTAGCCAAGGAGCAACCCAAACCCACAGTCCCCGTGGGGTTCAGATCCCATCACAAAATTACTTTAAGTGGCATTCTGAGTTGTTATTCCTCCCTCTGCCTTGTCCCTTTTAAAAGGAATCATCATTCTCCAAAAGACACTGAACATAGTGATAAAACCACGGCCAACACCACTTACTGCCATTGCAGCCACTCTGGCAGGTCACATTTTCCCAGAGTTTCTCATTATTTTGCCATAATGGCTGATGTGCTGCAACATGAAATGGGCCAGATGGGCTCTCCATGGCACAAAAAACTTCTGGATTATATTAATAACATAAAATAAAAAGAAATATGCTTTTTAGTAGGCCACTCCACCTCCTGCATTTGCAGTAATGTGTCTCTTCTGTTGTGTTTTTCGGAGTTTTTTGTTTGTTTGTTTGATTTGGTTTGGTTTGGGGGTTTTTTTGGGCTTTTTGTGTGTTTGTTTTTTTCTTGGATATAATGCATGTTCAGGCATTTCTTTTCCAACTTCAGGAATAAAGGCTACAGAGACTTTCCCTTCTTCAGTGTAAAAGTTAACCAACTGCTGGTGCCAGCAGGGAAAGATCGATGAACCCCGCGGAGCAGTTGGTAGCAAGCAGGATGCTCAGAGAGAAGAAATGGTTAAAACCAGGCAGGGGGTGTTTGTATACAGCATGGAATAAAAGGCACTGAAATGTCTGGCCACCCTGCAGGCACAGTGTGCAACACAGCTGCTTGAAATGCAGTCAATTTTAGCAGCACCAGCACAGAAGAAAATTATTATGGGAAAAAAGCCTGAATAAAGTGAAATGTTAAGGGTGAATACCGTCTCTGCTGCAGCATGGCAATGCTTGTCACATCTCCTACTGGGGCTACTCAGGGATTGCCTTTGGGATTAGACTTAGGGGATGGTCAAGCCCCAGCAATAGCAAAGGGTATGAAGCCAAGGATGGTTCCAACCACCCCTCTGCCTGTCAAGAAGAGACAGGGGACATCTCAGTGCAGATGTATATATCCAGTACCCTAAGTCTTCTGCAACACTGCTTGAAAAAAGGTGTATTTGAAGACAAATAATGCCCCAAATGTTCTCCAGACATGTACCGCTACTCAGCACTTTTCCTAAGTCAGCTTTCTTTAATGCAATAATCCAAACCCATGAGTAGGGACCTAGAACTTCTAGGGTTTGTTTTCGTAGTCATCCCTTCACAAAACCACTACTGGGCACCAGCAGCTTAACTGCACAACTTTATCTTGATTTCTGTAGCGGGAGCAAAACCAGCTGCACTAAAAACACAGCTCTTCCAGGAGGGAAAAATATCTGGTGCAAAAGAAGGCGGAGCCAGACCCTGTGAACAATTGTCAGGGGTC